ACTGGTTTGTAAATATTGTTTGCAATTGTCATTCTGCTCGAAAATTTTGAATTCGATTTCGAATTAATTGTCCATCTTGAATCATATTCACGACAAGATGTGTTTAGCCAAGCTTGAGTGACAATGCTTTACCTTTGAGAGTTCAATGAGTTGTAAATGAGGGATTATTGCGGATAAACATTCTGATGGTACTAGTATTTTAGCAACTGAGAGATATTTCATCAGTGTTATTGCGTTGATATCCTTAATATCATCATTATTATTGTCGTAACTGTTGATTCCAGTATCGCAGTCATTTTCAGTGCCAAATACGATGAAGTGCTGAATGATGTGGATAGTTTCTGTCGTGAGCAAGGCAATGACCCGTATGCAACACTACGTGCACTACGTTTAGTGGCTGAAGCATACGCAGTAAAAGGTTTGTATAGTGATTATTATATAGTCCTTGTGATATAATCAAATATATTCTCGCAGTTTTGTATGGATGGAAAATGAAGAATGCTAATAGCAAGGCAAATGATGCGAATTGAGTCTGAGTTTAGCATTCATTTAGCAGATATTCGTGATGAAAGGTGATGATTCTTTGAAGGATTCTCAATTGAAGCGATTCTGAAACGTGGTTCGACTGCACAGCAACCCACATCGCAGCAGCAACAACAACGCTCGCGTATGAATGCACTCTACTGCTTCGAGAAATCCGCTGAACTCACGATTTCGTATGTGAATGAACTGGAGAAATCTTTAGCATCAACGACGAGTTTGTTTGTTGGTTTATTTGTTCATGCAATTACTCTCGTTATGTTAGTCGTTCGTTTTTCCGACTATTACTGAGATGTACAGCAAAATTTTGATTATTCTGCGCAGTGCGTGCATAGTCAGTTTTTTGATTGTCGCAGCAAAAAATGTTTCACAGCAAGAGAAACTTTCTATCGATTTTTGATTTTTTTTTTTTGAATTTTAAGGAGTATCGTCAGGCACTATCCTATCATCACAACAATCTAACGGAGTGAATGCTGGCAGATCATTCGATAAAATGGGTAAGATCGTTTCGAAACTCTACGTTTCCTCATCATCATATAATGATTGCGGAATAAGAAATGCATTTAATTTTTCGTAAAGGAAAGTAAAAGTTCATGAATCTTTTGCTAACGAATTTATCCAAATGTTTGAATTTTCATGTTTGTTTTTCTCTTCTATGATGTAATAAAAATACAAAGTGAAAAACAATTTGAAAAGAAGTTTTGGAGTTGCAAAGTAAAATTGAAATTGAGGTGATTTATTGGAGTCATCGTTGGAACGTGTACCATTACTTCGGTTACGGAGGAACGTTTGCGATTGTCCGTGGGGTGTAGAGGGCATCGAGTGGTACCGACATATCATGACGTCTCTTGGTGATAAACTCGTCGGAGAAAAACTTCAACAGAGGTTTGCCTTCATTTGTAATTCTGGTCAGATTTTTCAATTATCAACTTGGATTAGTTTTGTAATGAGGTACTGCGAATCGGTTTTTATCTCTGTTTCAGTCTTGGTCTTAGCGATCAATTTAATTGTAATTGAGTGTAATCGAGTGTAATTTTGAGTGATTAAAGAATATTTCTGAT